GCTACAATAATCCATGCTGGAAATTACTATAGCATGGACAAGCTCCTTGGTAGCATCCTGCGTAAGAAAGGAGCGGATGCGGGCTATTTTTTTAAGATGGAATCTACAGGATTTGGCAACAGACTAGATGTGAGGCTCAAAGCTGAGGCCAGAATCAAGTATAATGCAAAGACAGCGCGCTTGCAAGGATGTGGATACCACGAATTTGAAGTGAGAGCGAAAGAGGAGGAGGAGCTCAGACAAGGAGAGATTTTAGAGAGATTGAGTTTCAGAAAGCGGTAGGACATCCCATCAGAGATTGAAGAAAGGCAAGTGACATGTTGCAGGACGGTAGGGGAGAGGTCCAGAGAAGAGAGATATATCTGGGTGTCATCAGTGTACAGATGGTAGTGGAATCCAAATGATGTTATCAGTTTGCCAGGAGAGGCAGTATAAAGAGAAAATAGAAGGGGACCAAGGACAGAGCCTTGGTGGACTCCAACTGAGACAAGACGAGGGGAGGAGGTATCATTAGAAAAGGAGACACTGAATGAGCGCTGGGAGAGATAAGAGGAAAACCATGAGCGGACAAAGTCACAGATACCGAGTGATTGAAGAGTTTGAAGAAGGAGGGCATTATCAATGGTTTTAAAGGCAGCAGAGAGGTCAAGAAGAATTAGTAAGGAGTAGTGGCCTTTGGATTTAGCTGCAATTAGGTTGTTAGTAACTTTGATAAGAGCAGTCTCAGTAGAGTGGAGAGGGCGGAAGCCAGATTGAAGAGGGTCAAGGAGAGAGTTGGAAGTGAGACATGCGGGTAAAGACAAATCTTTCCAGAAGCTTTGAAGAAAAAGGGAGCATGGATATGGGACGATAGTTAGAGGGGGAGGATGGGTCAAGAGAAGTTTTTTTTCAGGGTCCGTACTACAGTGGCATGTTGAAGGTCAGCAGGGACAACACCAGAAGAGAGAGCAGTTGAAGATGTGTGTTAAGGAAGGCACAAGACAAGGGGAGAGAAATCTGATAAGGTGAGATGGGACAGGATTGAGCGGTTAAGTGGTGGGGTGAGAGGAAAGGAGAAGCGCAGCCACTTCATGTTCAGTAGCTGGGGAGAAATTCTGAAGGGTAGGAAAGGCATTATCTACGTGTGGTTGAGAAAGAGAACGGCAAGGTGGGGAGAATTATTTCCTTAGCTGTTCAATCTTGTCGGTAAAGTAGCTTGCAAAGCTATTGGCTGTAAGGTTAGTTTGAGGGGTGGCCACAGCAGGGCAAAGAAGAGAGTTAAAGGTGTCGCCTGGGATTGCGGGAGCAGGAACTAATGATAGAGGAAAAGTATGACTTTGCCAAGGGCTGCGCTGTATGAACACAATATGAATCTATAATGGAGATATTCTGAATGGGTGTGGGACTTCCTCCAGGAGAGTTTAGCACAACGGGAGCATCTTTGCAGGTAGCGTGTTGATTTAGTATGCCACGGTTGGGGGAATGTCCTCCTCGAGGTGCATGTTTGTAGCAGGGCTGCAGCATTCAAGGCAGAGGTGAGGATAGTGTTATATGTGGAGATGGCCATTGAGGGACAGGAGAGGGAAGGAATGGGTAGCAGTTGTGAATCAATATAAGCTGACAGCTGCTGGAGGTCAATAGAATTAAGGTTCCTTCTGAGTTGAGGGAAGTTAGGCTGAGGTTGTTGGGTGAGGGGGTACTCGAGAGCAAATGATCAGAGGTGGTGATCAGAGAGAGGAAATGGAGTATTGCAGATATTAAATACTATACATGCATAAGAGAAAATGAGGTTGAGGGTATTACCAGCAACATGGTGGGAGAATTAGCCCACTGTGATAGCCCGATGGAGGAATTAATTGAAAGTAGTTTAGAGGATGCTGAGGTCAAAAATGGGTTAATGGGAATATTGAAATATATATATTGTTTGTATATTGTATTGTTTTTCTAATATTGTATCTTATTGTAACAATGCAATGTTTTGTGACAGAACATACTTGAAAACAAGAGAAATCTCAATGTACCCTTCCTGGTAAAATATTTTATAAATAAATAAATATGCAGTTATCCAATACCAATGTATGTTTGTAGATATTACTATGCCTGCAGTGTACAGTTAAGAAATGTTTGCATCTCACTTTATCGGCCATTTATTTATAGTCTGTGCCTACAGGCACCTGATATGGACATCTGGCCCTGGCCACAACAGTGTGAGGAGAGTTCATAGGAACATGGTAACCACTTACTGTTCATGTTCCAGTGATTCACAGCTCTGCAATGCAATTTTTCAAGACATAAGCTTGCAGAAGGGAAAAATAACATTTAAAGCAGTTGTTCCTTTGAAACAAGGGCTCCAAGAGGCATGGGGTCAGGAGGACAAAGGTCCACACCTCCCTAAGGGCAGACCTGTCTCTGCATTTTCTTCATTTGTCATCAGTTGACTTTTCACTTCAGAAGCATTTTCAACCTTTTTGTTTTTATTGCGTCTTATTGTTTGCTAGTCATACAAAAAATAATTTTTTTCCACCTGATTTTTATCAGCTTGCCATGTTTGTCCTTTTACTTCTTGGATAAGATAAGCAGCAAAATGCAAATGACAATTCAACTTTAGCATTTTACAAAATAAACATTTTTCCAGCGTGATTTAAAAAAAAAAGTTGACATTTATATAACAGAATAAAAACATGAAAGAAAATGCCAGTCTGTGTACATAATTATAGGCCTTCTTGTATTTATGGAAACACTAAAAATGAGCTTTACAGCCAGTTCTTATGAATAAAAAAAAAAAAACTAGATTTTTTTTGTATATGATTATACAAAATACCTTTCATCACATATAGCCAAATTCATCCTCTAACCAAACGTAGAGAACATATGATGCTTCAGTTGTTTTATTATAAAATGAATCTCAGTTAGCCACCTATAAACTAATATGGCTATTCCATTAGTTCAAATCCATTGCATGATCTCGGATCTCATCAAGCATACACACGAAATTAATTTATGTTGGCTAGAAATATAATTGCAAATAAAAAAATGAACTCATTGATTATTGGTATAGAGATATATATTGAGACATATACATGACTGATGTGGTAATATGGGCACAACAGATCAAACATTAACATTGGTCCTGTTACTTTATTCATGTGGAATTTACGAGACACGTCTTCTTTGAAGTCTAATTGAACTTCATGATATGTTTGGTGTGTCTACATTTTCATAAACCATGCTAAAGTGTAATTGAACTTGGCTTTCGGCAATCCTGTTGATCTTGAGAATCTTTAGTGATGTCAAAGTAATCATGCCGTTACAGTTTTTCTAACCATTTTCATGACATTTAAACAAATGGGCAGTCAACCATTGTAGTGAAATACACAACCTTTTTTAGTGTACAATTTGGTTTCAAATGTTTAATTTTGACATTGTGATCAAATCTGAAATACTAGATAACATGAGCTATGTTTTCTCTTTTTTTACTTGAAATTGGTCTTATACCAATATACATAAAAACGTTTAAATAATACTAACTTACCTTCTAGTTGATAAAAAATAACACAATAGAGTTGATATAATTTGTGTCATACCTGATAAATGTCTACAGAGTAACAAAGCTCACTGTGATTTTGCTTCTTATATTATACAGTTCAAAACTATATATCTTCACAATAGGTATTCAATCCCCAAGATAAATATGCTTTGAGCAGTAGTAGAACAATTTTCCTGTATGTCATTGATCAGGTATTCTGCTCGAAGGTATAACTTCAGGATTGCACTTATTGCTCTATTGACAATGCAAAGGCACTTTGTCTGTCTGTTGGGTATTTAATCTGAATTTGAACGTAATGTTTCTCAATTATTTTCTTCTGTCAATAAATAATTCAATTGATAAAACTAGAAACTAGATGTCATGGCCTCAAATTAGTCAGCCAAATAATTCCTAGGGTTTATACAAATGTGTCTGCAAATGCTACTCGACATAAACCACCCTTTATTTACTAATCCGACTCCAGAGCCGACACTGCAAGAACATTAGACCCTACCCATAGGAAAGTATTAAGCAGGGGTCAAGTCCTGGGGAAAAAAGTGTGGGAACTCACCCAAGATACCCGCCTCTTTCCCCCTTAAAAAATTTTTTTTTAAAAAAATTACACTCCTATGCATATAGTGCAGTGCGTGTATAATGAATGTAGTGTGTTTGTAGTGAATGCAGTGTGAATAATAATTGTAGTGTATTTGTAGTGAGTGCAGAGTGTGTATAATGAATGCAGTGTGTTTTTAGTGAGTGCATATAATGTGTAGTGTATTTGTAGTGAGTGCAGTGTGTATAATAAATGTAGTGTATTTGTAGTGAGTGCAGTGTGTATAATAAATGTAGTGTATTTGTAGTGAGTGCAGTGTGTATAATGAATGCAGTGTGTTTTTAGTGAGTGCAGAGTGTGTATAATGAATGCAGTGTGTTTTTAGTGAGTGCAGTGTGTATAATGAATGTAGTGTATTTGTAGTGAGTGCAGTGTGTATAATAAATGTAGTGTATTTGTAGTGAGTGCAGAGTGTGTATAATGAATGCAGAGTGTGTATAATGAATTTAGTGTGTTTGTAGTGAGTGCAGAGTGTGTACAATGAATGCAGTGTATGTAGTGTGTTTGTAGTGAATGTAGAGTGTGTATAGTGAATGTAGTGTGTAGTTAGTGCAGAATGTGTATAGTGAATGCAGAGTGTGTATAGTGAATGCAGAGTGTGTATAGTGAATGCAGAGGGTGTATAGTGAATGTAGTGTGTTTGCAGTGAGTGAAGAGTGTGTATAATGAATGCAGTGTGTGCGTGTGCTGGATGATGTGTGTGCGCGTGCGCGCGGATGCTGTGTGTGATGCTGGATGATGTGTGTGCGCGTGCTGGATGATGGGTGTGTGCGTGCGTGCTGGATGATGGGTGTGTGCGTGCGTGCTGGATGCTGGATGATGTGTGTGTGTGTGTGCTGGATGATGGGTGTGTGTGTGTGTGTGTGTGTGCTGGATGATGGGTGTGTGTGTGCGCGCGCTGGATGATGGGTGTGTGTGAGTGCTGGATGATGGGTGTGTGTGTGTGCTGGATGATGGGTGTGTGTGTGTGTGCTGGATGATGGGTGTGTGTGTGTGTGCTGGATGGTGTGTGTGTGCTGGATGATTGATGTGTGTGAGTGCTGGATGATTGATGTGTGTGAGTGCTGGATGATGGGTGTGTGTGAGTGCTGGATGATGGGTGTGTGTGCTGGATGATGGGTGTGTGTGTGCTGGATGATGTGTGTGGGGGGGAAGCATTTTTTTACTTTATGTATATTTTTTATTTTATTCCCCCCTCCCTGCTTCTTACCTTGTCAGGGAGGGGGGAGATCGCCTGGTGGTCCGGTGGTATGCTGGAGGGAGCCAGCCGCTGCACAGAGGGGCCATCACACGCTGTGTTCCCTCTCCAGCTCTAACTCTCGCGAGACTCGCCTGTGCTGAGCGTTGCCATGGTAACAGCCGCGGGTCTCGCGAGAGTTATAGCTGGAGAAGGAACACAGCGTGTGCTGGCCCCTCTGTGCAGGTAGCAGGGCCGGTCCTGCAGGACAGGTAACGGGAACGGCTTTCCTGCTTTGGAAAAAGTGCAGGAACGCCGTTCCCATGCGTTCCTGCAGGACTCGAGCCCTGGTATTAAGGCAACGTTTTCCTATGAGGATTTTAAGGACGCTTTATGTCCTCTTGCAGAGCGTGAAGACATTCAGCATCATTTAGGTGACCTTGAGTCCATTAGGATCCAGGAAGTGCCTCTAGTGGCTATCTGATTGACAGCCACTAGAGGCAGTCTTAGCCCTGCCAAGTAATCATTGCAGTTTCTCTAAAACTCCAATGATTTACATTGCAGGACTTTGTAGAATAGGGACACTGTACCAAGACCACTTCAATGAGCTGAAATGGTCTGGGTGCCTGTAGTGTCTCTTTAACCCCTTATGGACCAAACTTCTGGAATAAAAGGGAATCATGACATGTCACACATGTCATGTGTCCTTAAGGGGTTAAGTCTTGTGAGGCCTCATGTTTGTTAGTACAATATTAATCAGGATCTGTCCCTTTCTATTTAGGTTTTATGTGGTCAATTGCTCAGCAAAACTCCTTCCCCCTATTCAGTATGCAACCAGTGGCTGCAATAATAGACTAATTTGATATTTGTAATGTGACAATTTGCTTCATCTAATCAACTGTAGTATTCTACACTTTCCCAGAGTCACAACAATGATTTCTCAGACCCAAAGCCTCCAGTAGAAATCGGGTTTCTAAGGTTGTGCTCTATGTGGTCGAAGTGGGTATAAGCCTAATGATTTTCCTAGGAGGCTGGCATGACCTCTGTTCTGTGTGAGTTGGTACTTGTCAGCTCTCTTATAATGTAAACTGTATAAAATGTATACAAGTTTTTTCTTGCTCTTTTCGTAATGAGTGGGAGCAGCACTGTTTGCTGTGGATTTATGTAGAAAAGCATGTTCATAAGTCTAAGGTATATGATTGGGCATGCTGCTGTTTTTTCAAACATTTGATGTGTATCATTAAAATATTTCACATAGAGATAAAACGTTCAATACCTTGATATAAATGGCTGCTAATTCAGCCTATCGGGATTATATTTAACTTGGATCTAAATCTGCCTGCAGGTTCAGTTGCTATTTTTTAGAAGCCTACATTTAGTTTAAATTAGACATTTTAATGCATTGGCAGTCATACAACCTCTTGCTTGTTTGAGAGCGTGTATAATATATGGACAGTGTCAAAAGAAAATTTTCATTGAAAAAAATAAATCCCACTATATGCTGAAGTCATTTAAAATGAAAACATATCTGCTCTGGCCTGTTTCTGTTCCATTGGTGTGTTTATTACCATTATTTCACTTAATATATAACTGTGCAGCTTGGGGAGGAAACCACTTTAATTTGGCAATGGCAGATGATAGATTACATGAACACTATAGTCACCATGACAACTTTAGCTTAATGAAGCAATTTTAGTGTATAGTTCATGATCCTTCAATCTCGCTGCTCAATTCACTGACATTTAGGAGTTAAATCACTTTGTTTATGCAGTCCTAGTCACACCTCCCTGCATGTGACTTATTCATCCTTCCTAAACACTTCCTGTAAAGAGTAATCTAATATTTACACTTCCTTTATTGCAAATAATGTTTAATTTAAAATGTATTATCTCCTGCTAAATTAATAACTTGCTAGACCCTGCAGGAGCCTCCTGTGTATGATAAAAGTTCAATTTACAAAGCAGGAGATAAAAACTTTTAAATTAAGCTACATTTGATTGCAAATGAAGCAATTTTGTTTTTTATGCGGGCCGTGTGAGTCACAGCTAGAAGAGGTGTGGTTATGACTGCATAAAGAGAAACAAAAGTCATTAAATGCCTAAATGGCAGTGAATTTGCAGTGAAAAATCAGAGGCATGATTTATACACAAAAACTGCTTCATTAAGCTCAAGTTATTTTGGTGACTTTAGTGTCCCTTTACAATTTCATTTAAAGGGGCACTATGTGTGTATAATGTGTTCAGGTTTTTGATTTTACAAAAAGTAAGGATTTCAATAGAAATTGGCCCTTTTATAGATTATCCTTGTTACGCCCCCTATCAATCAGGCAACTGGTCCTGTTACCTCTTGGTTGTTTAGCTTAGTGGACGTAAATTTAAAAGGTAGCAATTGCCCAGAGCATCTGCCTTGCAAATACTTTTTATTGAACTATTTTTGATACACTGCTTTTTGAATTATTTTAACTTGCAATCTATATTTTTTTTATTGTTTATTCTGTTTCCTTATTAGGTGCTTGTTTATTTTTAATATTTCAATATTTTATATTACACCAATATCTTATATATTTTTATATAATCTTATAAGTTTTTATATTTTTATATATATATATACTATGAATAATTTGACTATTTTGTCTAGCAAATTTTCTACTCATTTGGACATTATCTTTGCAAAGCTCCTCCTGTATTCCACCTTAATTAAGGAGCTGCATAGTTCTGAGCAGTGCCATCCAAGCCACCCCTTTCTCTCTTCATGACCACTGACCATAACATGCTTTCCAAATACCGTTTTATTTGTAACAATTTACAACACAACCTTTCAGCCTTTGAGTGGTTTGTCCAACAGAAATATTGGGTGCACTGTCCAGGAATCCCACCAGCTGTGACAAAACATAACCAGGGAGAGAAAAACACCCCACCAAATACCAATCATATACACGGTCATTTGCACTTTTTAAAAATTTTGTTTACTATTGAGATAAATGTATTAATCAATTTATTCGTTTTGCTTACTATAGTAAATGTTTATAGTGTCTTTAAAGTCGTAGCGCCCCTTCATTTTACATGTATTGATATAGTGGATGTTTTATTAGGTTTTTGCCCTACATAAGGTTGTTGCTGCATCTATTAAATTGTCCTATTTTTTTCCACACAAAAAAGTGCCATACCTTCACTTTTGTATTCCACTATTTCTCATTGAGTTGCATTGGGAAGGCTTTGATTGGATAGACAAAGAAAGCCTGGGCTGCAGAAGAAGGGGAGGGCTTGCAAAGGATTTGGATAAGACATCTGCAGCATTTGCAAGCGCTTCTTAGATATATCCATAATGAAAGAATGCATAATAAAAAATAAATTGTTTATATATTTTTTTTTTGTATTTGAGAAGTTGAGTATACATTTAATTCTTTTTAAAAGAGATTTAGAAAAAGCCTATTTATTTAAATGATTCCATACATATTTTCAGATATTTAGTGCCAGTTCCTACATCCATAGTGTAAAATTAGAACCAATTAGATTAGAGGATAAACTCGAGCAAAGGTAGACACTCCCCTCCATCTCCCATAATACTCTTACAGCTATAATGCCGGCAAAGCATCAAAAGAGTTGTACTCCACAACGTCATAAGTATGTGGAACTTATTGGCTGTGGAACATATTGCACTTCATTCCTGTAAGATAAGGGCCAAATACATTTAATAATTCAGTTTCCCCCAACCTTCTGCTGATTTCCACGTTACAGAGTTAACATCCATAAGCTGAGGTAAAATAAATATTCTTTAACAAGAAAGAGTTTGTATTGTTGTGTTTGTATACCAGTTGCCAAAAAAATGATGTAATTTTATTTTTATTACGTTGCTTTACCGATAATAAAATTGAAATAAAAACCAGCTGTAAACTAGGTCAGTTTTTCAAACAAGAAGTGAAATCGTCTCGCAATGTTTACAAATTGAATTGGCCCAGGATATTTAATAAAAAAAATACAAAGATATATAAATATATTAATTTCCACTGCACAGAAAAAAAGCTTAGTTCCACCATATGGCCATAATGTGTTAAGCCCACCACTAATACCCTAATATCGGTGGGTACTACACTAATTTTCACAAGGGAGGCAAACAAAAACTTAACGAGTGCCACTGCTAAATTAAAATTACAAACTAATGTACATTCAATTAATCAATTGTTAGAGCATTGTAAATATATGTCATACACAGGTGATCAAAAACCCAATTAAAAAAAATAAAGTGCCATAACTAAACAAGTAAGGTGACAGTGACAGATACATATTGTTAAAGTGACATTGCTATTGAAAATCTCGTTGAATGTATACTTTCCTGTTTTCACCTCCAAGGGGCGGGCTGCTCAACCAACAAGGAACGTGCATTTCTCAGCAGTGGTGCTGCCATAAAGACCAAAATTTATACAAAATACAGATTAAAGAACAGCGCACACAAAAATACAGTTTTACATTTTACAAGGCTACTTAAAGTCGTCTATCTCAAAAAACATATATTCCACCATATGACCATATCATGTAAATACATTTGGCAATCTGATGACAAGTAGGCTACTGGAACAAACTTTCCTGGAATTGGTGCCTAGATCTGCTTGACTGTGTAACGGAGCTCCCTGTACTCCGACCGAGTACCCTCCGTTGACGGATGCTCCTAGTGCTTCCTGAGGACTCCAAGCGCTGCAGCAGACACCACAACCACCGCAGACTCCGCAACCGCCGTATCTGGACTGGAGTCTCGCCGTCTTCCTTCCACCCTGGATCAGCTTCTGTCCTCCAGGACTGTGTGGGAAAGAACTCTTCCTTCCACCCTGTATGAACCTCCAGCATCCAGGACTGTGTGGTGAACACCCCTCCTCCAAGGAAAGCGTGTCAGGAACAAGCTCTTAAAAGAGCTAAATGACTCACGCTTAGGGGAGCATGCAGAGCATAGCAATCCCCA